GTCTGGCCATTCTAAATCCTTCCTTTCACATTTAGACCCACCGCTTTTTTTCCGGACCTCAGATTTTTTTTTTCCTTTGTTATATAAAAACAGTGGCTGCCCACTAGCATGTACATTACAAATCCTTAGTCAGTTTTGGCAGTTTATCATTGAATGAAGGCAGTGAAATTATTTCTCATTCATTTAGCAAGGGTCACCCTGACCAGGCATTTGGTAGGCCCTAAAGCAATCCAAACACCTATGAGACTATCTAGTAAGACATAATTATTTGTTATTGTTGTTTTTATTATTATTATCTGTTTTAGTCTGATCTTTAAATTATTTCTACTTTGGGCTTCCCATATTATAAGAGAAACGATGCAATCTCAAGCTTGTGTGTCAGATTTATTTCACTGAACATTGTCTTTCAAGGTCCTCTCCTGGAATAGCGTCCCATGTGTCAGTCACTGAGTCAGGGCCACAAACTGTTCAACGCTTCTGGAAGCCTTCTTGTGCTCCACAACACCATATAGAGTGGCTGGCACTGCAGCCCCGACATTCACTCAAGGCCTTTGGTTCTGTTAGAAAAACAAGCCCCATATATACACACAGTATAGAGAATAAACATTCAACTGCATCCCCAAGAACCTGGCAGTCTGTATCATGGAGAAGAAGGGGAGATGACAGTTATGAGGAAAGACTTAAGGGTGCAAACAGGCTGAAAGGAATAAGGGTTCTAGATTGCCTAGCTAAGAGTTTCACAAACTGTCTCCAATACTTTTTCTTTTCTGTTCTTTTCCTCTCCATTTCTTAGTTTCCTATGTGATTTCATTTGCAATGGCAGTTCTCAATAGAGGATAAGGAAAGAGATTAGTTAGCTGAAAAACATTTTTAAATGCAGGTTACTATTCCAGATACCTCCTCTCACCCAGCCTTCCCTGTTGCTAGGGCAAATGTGAATCTCTAAAAGGTTCCTTGAATGAAATGTTTAAAAACTCTATAAATTGGGAAATTTAACTCATTATAAATCAGGAAATAAGATCAAGGTCACTCAGAAAAGAATAGGCCAGACCCTAGGACTTCAACCCAAGCTGAAATTCTTCTAACAAAGCAGATGGGTTCTGGGATAAGCCTTGAAAGTTTGTCCTTACAAGCTTTGGTCAGCGGCAGGGACCAGAGTGGAAGGCAAAATGACAAGATGAAGACTGCACTCTGAAGGAGCCAGGCTTGGAGCACTGAGGATCTGGGGCTGGAGGTACAGACAGGAAGCAGTGGGAAGTGGAGAAACCAGTCAAGTTCCTGAAGTAAGTAGGCTTAGGGGTAACAGTGGGTGCTAGATAGCAAGGTGGCAATGTAATGAAGACAGATCACCACAGAGACTCCCCCAAAGGGTACTCTGGGAAATATGACTGATCTGGAGCATAGGTGACTAGGGAAAGATGGGTGGAACTGGCAGAAGCTGGGGAAGATGACTTAAAGGAGAGGGAAAGCAAGCCAAGGTAGTATCAGCCCTGGAGTTAGCAAACTACCCAAACCTCAAGCTCTCCTACAAACTTTGAGATGAAAAGATACTGCTACAGGACAGAAAGGAAAGGAAACGCTGAACCTACACACTGAGAAAAGAAAACTGCAGGAAGGGAAGCCCTTTGGGTAAACTGTAAAGCTAGCCATGGGCTGGAGACATCACGGCTCAATGATAAATTACTTGTCTTGCATGCATGAGCCATGGCAGATACGGCATAGTGCTATAAGAAGGAAGGCACCTTTGTCATGTCCTGAGCTGGGTATATCTACTTTAATTTTCTCATCTTCAAAATAAGCTTGCGGAGAGGATGTGACAGGTGAGGAGAAATCTTAGGTGAAGTCCGTGTCTAAGGTCACCATCAATAGGCACAATGGTACATGCCTATAACCCCAGCACTGTGGGAGGCTGAGGCAAGGGGATAGTAAGTTCAAGCCCAACCTGGGTAACTTAGCTGTGTGACCTGGTGAGAAATGTCTCAAAATAAAAAAAAAGAGTAGGGATGTAGCTCAATGTGATGGCCTTGGGTTCAATCCCCAGTGCCACAAAAACTGAAAACAAACAACATTACCATCAAATGGCTTAACTTGGATTGGAAACATTAAGAATCAAAGACTTCCATAATAATATCACAGTACCCTCTTTCCATCTCCAGACAACTGAAGGACAAGGAAGACAATGTTGGAGGAAAATATAGGTCAAGTTTTGCCACCATTAGGACCTACACCAGCAGCCCAAGAAAGAAATACATGAATACACACACACAGCTACAGCTTTTGGGATGATGAGGAAGAACCACAACTTCAGCAATTAAAACTACAGGGCTGGGAGTATAGTTCAGTACTAAAGTGATTGTCCACCATGAGTGAGGCACTGGGTCAATCCCTACCACTGGAGGGAAAGAAAGATTTTTAAAAATCCAACATGCCAGGTACAGTAATAACAGCTCTCTATGGTTTGCCTCAGGCAAGACTAACAGCAATTTTATGGGCTAGATACTGTTATTATTATCCTCCTTTCACAGACAGAAACTGAGGCTCAGAGAAGTTAAATACCCAGCTCATATTCACAATTAACAAGTAGGTCTGTCTGGTTCCAAAGCTAACCACCACATTATACTGCACGTAGCAAGGCCCATGTTGGGATGTATACAAGTGCCTGAGAAAGGTGGCAGGCAGCAGTTACAGAGCTGTCACTGCCTTATAATCTAAGCTAAGGAATATGACTAATGACAGCTGCAGAGACACATGGTGTTGCTTTCTGTGCCTCCCCCTCTACCACCTTCCCCAGAACAGTTCTATAAACTAGGTTAGCTGAATAGCTGGGAGGAGCTAAATGCCTTGGAGCAGGAGGTGGTCCAGAAGGAGTGAGGGACAAGTTAGATAGAAGGTGCCTACATACTCAGTAAGGGCTATGGTAAAGCAGTATATAAAAGGAAGGATTCTTAATGAATCTGGGAAATATTCCTGTATGTCCTAGGGGTGCCTGTTGATTCTCTTCCTCAGGACTTCTCTCTCATTGTCATGCATGAGTACACAGGCCTTATATAAGAGATGAGAACAAATGTTCTAATCACCTAGCCCAATATACCTATGAGACTTTCAAGCTCGGCCTCTTGCCTGCCTCCTTCTTATCTCCTCCTTCCCACACCAAATCCCACTTTAATGCTAACGTTTCTACAATCTACACAGCCTTCACTGGAGACCAGATGCTGTGGTGGGTGCTACACTCAAAAGCATTCTGGGTATGCCTCCCTCTTAAGTAGGCAGCTCCTACCTCCATGCATCAGAGCCATCTGGTGACCTGCTGTCTCCTCAAAGGAATGTGGAGCTCCCAAGTGCACACTGTTTCTTTGAATTCCTAATTTTAACCCAGTACTTAGCAAATGGTAGGTACACAAAAATATTGCTCATATAAAGAAACTTCCAGTTCAAGTAATCAATAATAGCATATAACAGTTATTGGATATCTACCACATGACAGATCCTAGGCTGGGTGTACACAATTTATTTATTTCTTCTTATTCTCAAAGTAAGACTGCAAGAAAGATGCCTAGCCACATATTACAGATGAGAAGACATCCCAGAGAGGCAAAGTTCCATGTCTAAGGCCACCATCAAATGGTTGAACCAGGATTAGAAACCTCCACAATCAAAGTCTCTTCCACATTACAGCACCTCCTTCTCATTCCAAACACCTACTGTGATCGGTTTCTCAGTTATCCTTCTGTTCCAACACCTGCTGCCACAGTGACAGCCTCCTCCCACAAGAAAAAGAGGGCCTCTTTCATGCATCCCAGAGGGCTTCTATTCCTTCTCTCTCTCTGCCAATCAAAACAAATCTGACAAATTCACTGTCAGATATTCCTTAGGCACTACTTATAGGTAGACTGGGGTTTCTGTTGTCACTCTTTCAACACAAACTATTTTCTTCACTCAGCAAGTAGCCCACAGTGGTCATTAAAACAAAAAGGAAAAAAGCAGCCACTTTGCTTTCTTCCAGGGGTTAGGCAAGTTAATTTGAAGCTAAATTAAGCAAGCTGGGGTGAGAGATGCGTTGCCGACAGATGACAGGTAGACAGGAAGGTAGGTATGTACAGGAGGAGAAAAAGAAGAGCCTAGAGATGGTATTTAGGATCAAAGAAGGCAAAAGGTACAAACACACAGCCCAGCCTAGGAGGTTCTGGGTGATAAAACAGGTATTGCTGATGCCAGTCAATTCAACGTAGGACCAGAGTCCAGACTCTCTTTTTTTTGTTTGTTTTTGTTTTTGGAGACAGGCTCTCACTATGTAGTTCAGGTCTTGAATTCACTATGTAGAGTTAACCAGGTTAACTCTCAGCTATTCTCCTGCTTCAGCCTTCAGAGTGCTGGGATTACAGGCATGCACCATCACCTGGTTTCAGACTAACACAATGTCCAATTCCACCAAATGTCTGACCCACTGGAAAAAGTATTGTTCCTAGCAGTTTGCATAGACAAGAGGCACACATTCACAGGGAGATCAAGAATACAGAAGAATCATTACATCTCCCAAGTACAGGGACACATAGGAAGGTCACTGTAAGGGATTCAATTTTATGTCTAGAGAAATGGCAAGAACATAGTGAGGGGTTTTTTTTGTTTTTTTAATTTGAAAAACTGCACTCATTCCCTTCAAGATATTCTCAGGTATTTAAAAGCTCTGGCAAAAACAAATATGAAAAACAAAAAACCAAAAAAAACAGAGCAACTCAGGACCATTGTCTTAAATAAGAATTAGCCATCTGTCCCAGAAGAAAGGTAGTTTTCCAAATTTTCATGCTGGGGGTGGTGTCATTTACCTGTAATCTGAGCACTGTGGGAGGTTGATGCAGATGGACCACAAATTCAAGCCCAACCTGGGAAATTTAGCAAATTAGTAAAACCCTGCCTCAAAATAAAATATTGTTTAAAAAAGTGAGGAGGTGTAGCTCATTGTAAAGGCCCTGGGTTCACCAAATAAATCCATACATACATACATATTTTTTAAAAATCACTATTGTGGCCAGGGCTTCCTCTGCTGCATACATTCCAAGCCCTAATGTCTTGAGTCTGAAACTCCTATCTTCCCCAAAAGCAAATAGAGGTGACATGGCACATCCAACAGGCTGCTACTATAAGAAATGATGAAGGACAAGGCACAAGAGGGAAAAGTCATGATATTATTTGGAGAATGGCATTCAAATACGAAATTAACATAATCTTACAACTGCCTTTGAAATAAAGTTTTTACTCCCACAGATAATTTGATTTTTACACAGGCTAATTATGATTTTGCTTTATCAGATTCATTCATATTTTAAATGAATCACTGAAAAGATGTAGTAAGTGGACAAAACTGGCCTCTGACAGAGAGGCTCAGTATGAGGGGGAAAAGACAAATAAGTTCATACAAGAAACTAGCAAAATGTCAAAGGTCAAACATCAATAATTAAAAAGTTAACAAGCAGGTTGGAATTTTAAACATAATCAAATCATTCTCAATGTATAAAGAAACAAAAAGAAGAAGAGAAACTTAGAGATAATGAAAAATATTCTAAGAAAGTGTTACCACACAGTGAACTTTCCTGGCATGATACCATGACAACAACCACAACAAATCATTCCATTTTTTTAATTCCTTAGTTGGGAAACCTTTCTGTAATACAGGATTAATGATTAAGCACTTCACAGAAACCATCCCAGTGGCTCTGACCAATTTCTGAATAATAATAGCCTAGATTATCTAGTGAAGGCTATGTGCCAAGTATCCTGCCAACGATTTTCCATGCATAATAATATTCATATATGTACATATATACTTATCATATAAGATGGGTATTATCATCATTTTTCATATTTTTCAGGTAAAGAACAATCAAGGTTTTTCCCTGACATAATTCATCTCAGAGCAAATATAAATTACAGTAGGTCTGCCTGACTTACACAACTGTGGCAGAGTAGTTTTTATTTTTATCTTTTTTTGGTACCAGGGATCAAACTCAGGAACTTACGCTTGTGAGGCAGATAACAGCACCACTGAGCTAAGTCCCTGGTGCAAAACCAATCAAGATTTAAAACTCTGGTCTTACCTTCAGCTACATGAGGAGCTACCGACAAGATGCTTTCCTTTTTTTTTTGTTTCTGTGTTGTGTTTTGTCTTTTTTGTTGTGGTGGTTTTGTTTTTTGCACCAGGGATCGAACTCAGGACCTTGTGCTTTATAAGGCAGGTGTGGTGCCACTGAGCTAAATCCCCAGCCCTGGTTTGGTCTTCTGAGACAAAGTTTCACTATATAGTTCAGACTGTCCTTGAATCACTCAATAGCCCAGAGTGGACTCAAACTCATGGTGGTCCTTCTGCCTCAGGTTCCCAAGTTTTGGTATTATAAGCATGCACACCAAGCCTCCACAACAAGTTACTTTCTTTAGACCTGTGATCCACAATGTACACAGAAGGGCTTACGGGGAATGGTGAGGCTTTCTCCAGACAGCTGTACTCTTAGAGACCATGTTACTTCCCCTCTTTTTCCTCCCAAAGCAACGGAAGATTAAAAGTCGAAGGAATTATTCTAGTTCAATACTACTTCCTAATTTATCTCGAGGTTTTTTTTTTTTAAGTGATCCCTTGTGAAGATACAGAAACCATGTTTGTACAGCTCCTATCTGCCATAAAACCTGCTTCACTGAATAAATTCTGGATGTTGGACTGAGACAACTTTGGTTTATCAACTTGGCTGAACATACTTGATCAAAAACTCCACCTATCAGGCCGGGGATTTAGCTCACTGGCATCATGCCTGCCTTGCAGGTTCAAGTTCCTGAGTTTGATCCCTAATACCAAGGGCAGGCAGGACCTCCACCTATCCATTTTCTATCTACCTCTGCTATTTGTTAAATTTTTCATAAGTCCCTACAGGTGGTTTACCATGGGCAAAACTCTTAACAAAACCAAGGACTTGGACTTAGCCCCTTTCTAAACACATTCTCTTGGCAAAGGCTGCAATTAAAGGTAGTTCCACGCTGTTAAAACAACTCAAAGTATAATGTGCTACTGAAATAGATAAGCAGTACCATCCTCAAACATAACAATCACATACAGGCTATACAATTTTAAAAACATATTGTGAACGCAAGTGCATTAGATATATACAGAGGAACAAAGCCTGACATACTAAAAAATCGAATCACTGCTTTGGTTAGGGTACTATAATTAAGGTAATTTTAATTTTCTACCTGCCAAGTTTCAACTTTATTACGCTGACATTATTATAGTGATAAGACTTTGATCCCTGAAAATCAGATTCTTCTAAAGCTGTCATATAGGATAGCTTCATGTAAAAGTACTTTAAGAACATCAAATATTCTCTTGAGGATGTTCAAAGAAAAAATCTAGAACTTTAAACATTTAAGTGTAGGTACGGTCCTTCCAAACTAAGATTCTGACACTAGTCCTGGGTTTTTGAGGGGGTTGTTTGGGGTTGCTAGGTGGAACCAGGGACTTTGCACATCGCTAGGCATGAGCTCTACTGTAATTCTCATGAGTTACACTGTATCACCAGGCCCAACAGCCCCGATTTTAACACTGGAGATGGAAGTAGGGTACAGAGGAGTATCTGGCTCTAAAATGACGGCTGTGCATGTAGCAGCTGTTTGATCAGGCTGCAGGAAGTGTTGCTTGGCAGAGCCTCATGATGCCTTCTGATGCTCCATCTGCGAAGTCGTGTGGTGTTGGATCTGACCCAGGGAGATGCCGCAGGAAGTACATGCGGGAGAGAAAAAGTGGAAGCTTTGGACAGATCATCAAGCTAAAGCCACAGCTAAGAAAGTGATTATTTTAGAAAGGACTTCTAATGTCATTTGATGTTTTGTTGAATTAATATCAATGACCCCCATTTCAACGAGAAATTTTACCATTTAAAAATCAGTTGGGGCAGGCAGGCATGGTGGCGCACACCCGTAATCTCAAGCACTCGGGAGGCTGAGTGAGACAGGAGGATTGCTGAGAATTTGAGGCCTGCCTAAGCTACACAGTAAGTTCAGGGCCAGCCTGAGCTACAAAGCAAGATCCTGTCTCAAAAAACCAAAACCAAACAAAAATTAGTCGGCGGGGCGAGGGGCTAAAAGTGTGGCTCAGTTGTTGAGTTCTTGGCAAGCATGCATGAAGCCCTCAGTTCAAACCACAGCACCCCTCCGCACACACACACACCCCTGCACATGTGCTGAGCAGGGACATGCTATTTATTTTAGTATTCCATAAACTGAGGAAAAGCAGTGTGTTTAACACAGGAGATGCCAAGCAAGCACTGAAAGCATTCAAAAGAAGAAAGTGTTCTAGGTTTTTAAAAAATTGTCCATAAAGAAAATGTAAAAACAACAACAACAAAACTAAGCCATGACATCTAGACTTTGTGTTGTTGGTGGTTTTTTGTTTTTTGGTTTTTTTTTTTTTTTTTGGTTTTTTGAGACAGGGTCTCACTATGTAGTCCAGGCTGACCTCGAACTCACAGTGATCCTCCTACCTCAGCCTCCCAAGTGCTGGGATTACAGGTGTACGCCACCATGTCCAGCTAGACTTTGCTTTTAAAGGTACTTTCATTGCCGGTCTGAGCAGGCAATTTGTTTGAGAATAAAATCTTATTATAGTCTAGCTACCAAAGTCATCAAAGTAAGTGATCAGAAAAAAAACTCATGTCAATAATCTTTTTTTCCCCGGTTGTTTATTGGTACATTTAAAGCAAACAACACAGTTACATTTATCACTGGGATCTTGTACCTTTACATGATATGTCTTGGTTCTTATTTTTTTGCCATACCCCTGCCCTCCCTTCACCCTTCCCTATTTATAAAGACTGTTTCCACTTTTTCCTTTTTTCATATTTTTTTCTTTTCTCTTGCCTTTCTCCTCCCCTTCCCACTTCCCTTTTAACCATTTTCTTCCTATTTCACACTATCAATTATACCATTTGAACCTTATTTACACTTTTAGTTTTTCACACCAGAGAAACTATTTGGTATTTACTCAAATGAGTCCTATTTATTTCACTTAAGAGGAGAGCCTTGGCCTGGGGATTTAGCTCAGTGGTTCTGCCGCTTGCCTTACAAGCGCAAGGACCCAAGTTCAATCCCCAGTACCAAAAACAAAAAAACAACAACAACAAAAAGCAGAGCCTCAATGTGCATCCATTTAACTATAAATGTCTCGAGTTTCTCATTCTTTATGGCCAAGTAGTACTCCATTTTATAGAAAAACCACATCTTCTTTATCCAGTCTCCAGTTGATAGGCATTTGGGTTGTTCCAAATTTTAGCTATTAGAAACTGTTCTGCTATAAACACAGGCGCACATATATCACTGTGGTATGAATCTTTTAATTCTTTTGAAAAGATACCAAGCAGAGAGATAGCTAGGTCAAATGGAACCTCTATAATCCTAGTTGTTTGAGGTATCTCCATATTGATTTCCACAGTAGTTGCACCAGTCTGCACTCCCACCAACAATGGAGGATTCCTTTTTCCCCACAGCCCTGCCAGCATTTGTTATTGGTTGATTTCTTGATAGCAGCCATTCTTTCTGGGGTAAGTGGAATCTCAGTGTTGTTTTCATCTGCATCTCTCGAATAACCAGTGATATTGAACATTTTTTCATATATTTATTTGCTGCTTTCACTTGTTTGTCGGAAAATGTCTGTTCATTTCAGATGCCCATTTTTGAATAGGGTCTTTGTACTTGGGCGGGGTCTGCTTTTTTTGAGTTCTTTACATATCCTGGATAGTAGTCCTTGTCTGACGAGTAGTTGGTAAAATTTTTTTCCCACATTGTAGGTTGTCTCTTAGCTCTGTTGGTAGCTTCTCCTGCACTGCAAAAACTTTCTAATACAATGAGATCCCAGTTTTTGATTCTTTGTGCAAGTTCTCATGCTGCTGAGGATTTGTTCATAAAGTCTTCTCCTATACCAATGTCTTTAAGTTCTACCTAATTTACTTTCCAGTAAGTTTAGTGTTTGTTTTGATATTTAGATCTTTAATCCACTTGGATTTTAGTTTAGTGCATGGTGAAAGATAGGGATCCACTTTTAATCTTTGGCAAGTTGAAAGCCAGTTTTTCCAACACCATTTATTAAAGAGGCTATCTTT